TGCGTGATGAGCGAGACGTGCGGACGGCAGGTTTCCTGTAGACGGTGATGCAGGCTTGGCTTTTCTTAGACGGCACGGTAGGCAGCCTTTGATGACAGTTTTTACTACTGGACGTATTTTTCTTATGTACAATCTCTGTCTTAATTCATTCACGACTGTTTCCACGCCTCCGTGATGCAACCTCTCGTGTACGTGTGCTATGTACAGACGAGTGTATGCGTGCTTCCCGTCTAGTATGGGAGGGTCGTACGTTCTGATGCTGCTTTTATTCGACCTCTGAGGCGTAGGGTCCCCTCTTCGTCGACGTATGTGCTCAGGTGGCCTAGTTTGTCGTCGCCTCCTGGAACACTTCTGTTGGCGATCCTCTTGAGCTCCTTCGTGAAACTTTCCCGCTGACTGGCTTGCACCTACAGTTGTTCGGCTCTTATATGATAAGCGGCTGGTATTCCTACAAGCGATGAGACAGTAGGTGTTGCCCTTTTCTCCTTGGTGGGGGTGTTGCGTCGGTTTGTTCTTTGCCAGCCGGGGTCGCTATCTTGTCTTGCTTTGTTGTGGCAGATGTGTTGTTGGCAAGTCTTCATTTTTAACTGTGATGTTACATATTTCTCGTTCTTCCTCGGTGTCGTATTGTGTCGTTTTTTCCTCCTGCGGCCATTCGGCCGGTAGGCGTTGTAGAAACGGGGGCCCTCGGAACCACCGGTGCGACTCGTCGAACCTTTCTGGCGTGGTTCGGGTCGCGTCGTCTGCCACGTTTTCTTTAGACGGTAGCCAACGTCATTCGTTCTTTTTGGTCGTATCTTCTATCTCCGCCAGGCGATGAGCGACGAAAGCTTTGTACGCGCGGGGCTCCGACCTTATCCACACTAGTGCAGTACGAGAGTCGCACCAGTATGTCTTGCCCGCTATATCGTCATCGTGCTCACTGATCACGGTCTGCGCAAGACGAGCTCCCAGTAGTGCTGCTTGTAACTCGAGCCGTGGTATGGAGACTGGTTTCAGTGGTGTCACGCGGCTCTTGGCGGCGGCCAATGATATGTTAACGCTGCCGTCTGCTCGTTCCGTTCTCCAATACACGGCGGCTGCGTAGGCCTCCTCGCTTGCGTCGACGAATGTGTGTAGTTGCCGCGTCGACACTGGGTTGTAATCGTAGCATCGCGGTATTCTCAGTTGTTCTAGGGTGTGAAGTGAAGTAATTCAGTCTTCCCATTTTTCTTTTAACTCTGTTGGCAGAGGGTCGTCCCATTCCGCCTTGTAACGCCATGTGTCTTGGAATATTCTCTTCGCTGGGATAGTCACTGGTGATGTTAACCCCAGCGGGTCAAATAATGCCATTATTATGCTCAGCGCTTCACGTTTAGTTGGCAAGCGTTGTTTTTCTTTTACGTCGATCGGCATCTTCATATTGTTTGTATTAAATACAATATGATCGCTTTGTACATGCCAGAGCAGGCCGAGCGTCTTCTCAGTTTCTTTTCCGCCCAGGCGCACGGTCGCGTCGTGTTGTTTATGCTCTGTCGTTATTTATTATATTTTTTTTTCTTCGTTAGATGTCCACCCGCTGAGTACGAATCCCGCTTGTTTGTGGACGTGATTGACTGCTTTTACAGTTTGCTGAGCTTCCGTGATAGAGTGGAAGCTCTGCAAGTAGTCGTCCATATAGTGATTTCTTTTTTATGGCGACCGCAGCTTCGGGGTATGCCTCTGAATGTTCTTCAGCATTTTTATTTTTGATGTATAATGCTGTGCATGGTGATGATGTCGCTCCAAATATGATCGATGTCATCCTATATTCCTCCGGTTGGCCCTCCCGCCGCTTGCCTCTCCACAAGAAACGTAAAACGTCTCTATCCTCTTTGCGCACTTTGATCTGAATAAACATCTCTTTTATGTCGGCGCTCAATGCATACGGATACTGTCGGAACCTCGTGATTACTCCGGGCCATGATTGTAATAAGTCCGGCCCCGAGTGAAGCATATCGTTGAGACATATTCCTGCTGTCTTCGCTGCGGCGTCGTGTACCAATCTCGGCGGCTTGTTAGGTTTCGCAGGGTTGATGACTGGGAAGTGTGGCAGATACCATGTTTTTCCTTGTGGCGGTGGCATGGGCGCGCGCTCTGCGTAACCCGAGTTGAAGAGGTTCTGTATGCGTTCTTCGTACTGTAGCTTGAGATTGCTGTCTCGGTCGAGCCTCTTCTCTAAAGTGTGCAGACGTCTTTCCGCGTCTTTGTAATTATTTGGTATTTGGAAATCCTTTTCTTTCCACAGCAACCCTGTCTCGAATCTGCCGTCCGCCGACCTCCTGCTGGTCTTCCTCAATATTTGCATAGCTCGCTGCTCGGGATCTTCTTTAAGGCTTCTTGGCTCGATGCACAGTGATTCTAATTTGAAATAATTCTTTATTTCTTCTTCTATTGGCTGTGCCTCTTCCCTTTGATGTAGTCTGCCGCAGAAGGTGACCGTCGATGTCAATGAGCTATGACAGCCATGCAGAACCCAGCCCAGGTTGGTGTATGAGGCGACTGGTTGATCTCGACGACCGACGCGCAGTTTTCTAGACACTATGAGGTGCCAGTTATCTTGCCCGATTAGTATTTTCGGTGAGGCGCGTTCGTAGGTGATATCCTCTTTGATATCCAGCAGATGTTGGCAATTCTCCAAGTGATTTATATTCACGGATTCTGGCGCGAAGTCCAACCGCTCTACCGTACGCGCTGCTTCTATGTTATGTTCCTCTTGCGCGTGCTTTCCTCTTATTTTAAGGCTGACGATCTTGCTCTTCTCATGTTTCACCTCCGAGCCAACCCCTTGTATCCACATTGCGTAGGCTGGGCTGTCGGCGCCGATGACGTCAGCGATCGAGGCATCGACTAAGGTGACCGTGCTTCCTTCATCCAATAATGCGTATGTTTCGACGCAGCTTAGCGGCCCCTTTATTGTTACGGGCGCAATCTTTAAGTAGGCGCGGCGGTGTTTGTACGGTCGAGTCGTTGTGATGACCTCCCTTGCCGATGTTGCGGTTTCCATAGCGGGTTCTTTTTCAGTTTCTACTTTTCTGTCGTGATGCAGCAATTTGTGGTGTTTCATCATGCATCCGCCTTTTCCGCACGGTGGAGCTTTACACAGCAATCGGCGATGTTTGCCTCGCCGACAGCGATAGCAGATATTATACTTCTTCGCTACTCCCATCTGTCATTTGTGGACAGAGCGGCGTATGACTTGCAATCGGGCAGTTTGTGTTCCTGTTTTCATTGAGAGCAGTGTTCTTCATATTGTTTCTTGCTTGTGGCGAAGGCACGTTCTATTTTTCTCGGCCTTCGCTCTCTCGGTTCGTTGTCCTCCGTGATAAATTCCGACAAGACATATGCGCTGCATTTATCCGCTTCTTCGTTTAAGAAGATTGATATTTTCTTAACACGTTCATGCACGCATACCATAATAGTCAACTTATAGGCCGTGGCGCATGATTACTCCATACAAAGTTTGAGGACGTCCATACTCGTATCGCCGTATCACAAACAAAATATTGCATATGACTTGTCGGTAACGTCAGTAAGCGTTGACGTTCAAGGACGCACCGGTATATTGCTAAAATTATTATCCATCAAAGGGGCAACAACGTTTAGGTACGTCTACGTTACCAGCCGTTCTGTTCCGATTTGTGGGTATTTTAGACCTTACAGATTACAAGAACGTCGTTAAACGTCAATGTCGGTACACGTTCTGCTTTCATCTCTAGACAAGATCCCTACACTATATTCAACAACGTTTAATAACGTCAACGTTGGGACACGTTCTGCTTTAATCTCTAGTCAAGATTTCTACACTATATTGAACAACGTTTAACAACGTTAACGTTGGGACACGTTCTGCTATAATCTCTAGACAAGATTTCTACACTATATTGAACAACGTTTAACAACGTCAACGTTGGGACACGTTCTGCTTTAATCTCTAGACAAGATTTCTACACTATATTGAACAACGTTAAACAACGTCAACGTTTACAGCCGTTCTGTTACTAGTTGTCAAATATTGATACCATGATAAGAAAGCAGCGTCAATGCACGTTGACGTTCATAACTGTTGTTCCACAAATATCTAGTAGAACTTAAAGTTTTGGGAAACAACGTTTAATTACTCCAACGTTACTTGACGGTCTGATCATAAATCGACTATACGAGCAAATTATCTGTCGCTCATCGTTTCCTGACGTTGACTTTGATTTATAAAAATAAAATAATAAACAGGATTTGATATGGAATAATACTCAATAATCATCAGTTTTTTGTTATATATTTTTAGAAAATCAACTATTTTTCAAAAATTACCTACATATCACATTTTGTGTCAATATCTACCCTCTTCTCGACTTAATTGAAAATAATTTAGGTGCAATTGTCCATAAATTTCTTCCAAGTTTTAGTTTAATAAAATTTACTTTTACTTCCTATCCTATGTGTGAGTAACATTTTCAAATTTTACGCTATTATCACATATCGATCAAATAATACTATGGTAAGTTTGGTTTATCCCATAGAAGTAACGAATTATTTCTCAAAATAAACAGTTTCTCACTACTATCTTATCAATAAATTACCACTATAGCACAATAACAATCAGTCTTACACAGTTTTGGTATAACATTGGTAGCAAAAAATTATAAAAATTATAAATACTCACTTACTTTTACCTACCTATCATATGAATGAGTAACCTTTTAACATTTTACGCTACTATCACAAAATCAAATAATACTCTGGTAAGTTAGGTATTTTCTATAAAAGTAACAAATTATTTCACAAAATTAACAGTTGCCTGCTTCTATCTTATCAATAGATTACCAGTATAGCACAATAATATTCAGTCTTACACAGTTTAGCAGATTTAGTATAACAATCGTAGCAATAAATTATAAAACTTCTAAATACTCATATGCATGATACAGTTATACTTATTTGATATCACTCTCATAAAAAGGAACAAAATAGGTAAAAAAGCATTATACTTCTTTGTGCCACTCTTCGAAGCAAAGAGCACACAGTGCTGGCTTTTCAGGGCAACCTTTACATCTCAGGCAAGTCTCCCTTCTCACCTTTTTTTTCGTGCACATCTTGCATTTCAAGTACTTTGATGTTTTGTTTGAACCCTCTTGCACGGGTATTTTCTCAGGCCAGTGACCATGGACTCTTGAGCTTCCGACGTCGTCGTCAATGGTACTGACTGGAAGTGGCAATAAATTAGCTCTGATTCTGTTGTCATATTTGCTGCGAGCTAAAATCACTTGCTCTGCTGTTAAATCTGCTGGTAAGTCCAACAGTCTTCGAATCAATTCCTCTCGGAAAAGCAAGAAATCACAATTGGCTTGGCAGTATTTTTTGAAAATAAAAAATGAGTTCCATACTGCAACATCCAACAAGTGGAACATCACTTTTTTATACCACCGGATTGATTTCCTTGGTGAGGAGTAATATGAGATCATTTGATCTGCTCTATCAACTCCGGACATGTGTTGATTGTATTCTGCCACTTCTGCGGGTTTAATTTTTCTTTGTTGAAATCTGTTTTGTATTTCTACAAGCCGAGGATGAACTGAAGTTGTTACCATAAGAAGTGGTCGCTTGTCAACCCATTTTGAAACATAGACCTTATTTTTTCGTACCCACACATGTTGATTCTTCTTGAGTTTTTTCTTAATGATGTCTTTGGGATTATCTTTTCTGTTTGAACGTAAGGTATCTGTGGTGTGAGTTTTTAAGTCAAATAGCTTTTGCGAAAGTGTTACGGAATTGTAATAATTATCCATGTATAATTGATGTCCCTTCAGCAAATATGGCCTCATGAGACGAAGGACGATCTTTTCAGATTTTTTTGCCAGTTCGAGCAGTTGTGTCTTTTCCGGAGTACATCATTATATTTAAAACATAGCCATCAGAAGTTGTCAACTCGAAGAATTTGATTCCGTTACGTACTTTTTTGCTCTTTATATATTGTCTGAATGCAAGGCGGCCTCTAAATAAAAGCAAAGATTCATCCAAACTTAACTGTTTGTATGGCTTATAGCACTCCATGAAGCTCTTGGTAATAGCATTAATAATTTTTTCAATTTTATCTTTTCCTTTTGAATCTAAATCTGATACATAAATACATCTCAAGATTTGCTCAAATCTTCGAGCGGACATCACATAGTGAAAAATTGGGTGATAATACAGTGGGTCGGAATACGTAAAATTTTTGCGTTTTTGAGGAATTTTGATTTGACCCATAAGCAAACATAATCCAAAAAATTTCAAGATTTCTTCCCGGTTTGTGTCCCTAAAGTTATAGCTACGTGAGTTTCGAGTAGTAGGTCTTGTTTTCTCGCATAGTGCTCGCCCTTACGTATTAGTACATGTTACAATATAGTCTACAATATTAGGATTAAGAATTTTATCAAATATTTCCATAACTGTCATAGCTGGGTTGACTTCAAACTGGACACCTGCTGAACTTTCATCAAACTCGAACGAAGGTATGTCTGTGTTCGTGTGTTCCCAATCATAATTTATCAGTGGAGGAGTGCTTGGTCTGCAATTGGTCGCTGGACTTATCTCGGGGAGTGTGTCAGGCACGGAGTTTCTTTCGGCAGCCTCTGGGTCCAGCACATGACAGATAGAAGGGTTGCGTTGTACAAATGCTTCCCGATCCAAAGCAGATGGACTGGTAGGCGCAGAATTCGTTTCGGCAGCATCTCGTTCCGGCACAGGAGAGCCGGACAAGCCACGCTCTGCAACTACCTCCAGTGCAAGTGTGCTGGCCGGAGTTGGATATCTTACAGTAGCGTTTAGTTCTGGTGGTGCAGAAGAGCTAGGTGAGCGGCACTGCGTAGTTGCGTCCCAGTCCAGGGCAGGAAGGTTGGCTGGCGCGGGATTTTCCTCAGCAGCCTCCCGATCTGATGCAGACGAGCTAGGAGAGCGGCACTGCGTAGCTGCGTCCAGGTCCAGAGCAGGTAGGTTGGAAGGCGTGGGATTTTCCTCAGCAGCCGTTGGATCCGATACAGGAGAGCCAGGAGTGCGGCGCTGCTCAACTGCGTCCAGATACAGGGCAGATAAGTTGACAGGCGCGGGATTTCTTTCAGCAGCTGCTGGATCCGGTGCAGGAGAGCCAGGAGAGCAGCGTTGCGTCCAGGTACAGGGCAGATAATTTGACGGCGGGATTCCCTCACAGCCTGACAGTGCAGGAGAGCTAGGAGAGCGCTGCTGCGCAGCTGCATCTATGTCCAATGCAGGTAGGTTGTCATGCGGGGATTTCCCTCAGCAGCTGCTGGATCGTGCAGGAGACCAGGAGGTGGCGCTGCGCAGCTGCGTCTAGGTACAGCGCAGGTAGGTTGTCAGGCGCGGGATTTCCCTCAACAGCCTCCCGATCCAGTGCAGGAGAGCTAGGAGAGCGGTGCTGCGCAGCTACATCCAGGTCCAAGGCAGGTAGGTTGTCATGCGCGGGATTTCCCTCAGCAGCTGCTGGATCCGGTGCAGGAGAACCAGGAGAGTGGTGCTGCGCAGCTGCGTCTAGTTCCAGTGCACGTAAGTTGGCAGGCGCGGGATTAACCTCAGCAGCTGCAGCAGCATGGTCGTCTTCAGCACCTTGAATTTGTGGATTAGTATGGGAGTGACTTCCTTCGATATGTGAATAAATTGAGATATTTTCTAATACTGCAGGATCGAGTTGCACTGAAGAGCTTTCAAGATTTTCTATATTATTTAGCAATGCCTCAGAATCTAACGACATAGTGTCGGTACTCTGATCTGCACTGGCAATCTTAGGTTTTTTGTATCTTGATCCTAAAGAGGAACTCTGCCCCTTCTTTTTTCTCTTTCTACTGTCAAAAATACTCTCATCACTAGATTCTGCCGATATCGAATTTGTATCATCCTCGTTGTCATCGCTATCACATACATCCGTGCACTCGCTAAAGCCTTCGGTTCGATCGTCAGAATCAGAGCTGCTACTTACACTGCTTTCAGAGTTGCGTTTACCATGTGACCTCGTTGCGTTGTCCTTGGAACGTTTCTTTAGTTGTTTCTTTTCACGTTGCTTTGTGTGATCACTAACAGTGCTAGTGCTGTCTGTATTATCATCATATCCTGGATCATAGTCGTTATCGGAACCATACTCTCCATCATCACTAAATGGGTCTGGTGTAGATGGCCTTGATGAAGAATCATATTGAAACAACTTCATGGAAGCATTATTACTAATTTGGCGTGATTTTTCCACCTACAACAAAAAACATAGCTATCATCTTATTCAGGACACAAAATTAGAACATATGCGTACATTTGAGATTTTTTTCAGAAAAAAACTAAAAATATAACTTACGGAATGAGTTTTCCTTGATATCGCACTTGGTCCAGCTTCACATTTTTCTTTGCAACCTACTTCAATTACTTTTTTCTTAGATGGCTTCCTCTGGCCTCTTTTTCTATTTCCCATCCATAAAATTCAAAAATTGCAGCATATATACTATAATGCACTTATAACAACTATCACCATATCCTACAAAACTATAGAAAACGAAAAAAATAACTTACGATAACTTTCTCAAATGCACGGCCTGCGAGGGTTTTGTAGCGTAAAACGTGGGTCACTGTACCGACGCGTAAGCAGACTGGCAATATGGCGACTCTAACCAAAAACGACGTTTGTCGACGTTGTTCATGTGTGTGTAGGTTACCTATCAATGTGTGTGTGACTTATGTTCAAGTAAGAAAAAAACTAATGTATTGTAGCGCTAGAACTTTGAAAATTTCACACGATGCGGCGCAATGACGTAGCTACCTAAAGATTATACAGAGATTTGACGTTACTAGCCGTTGTACTTGGAAATTAAAATTTTCTTAGGACGTGATTAGACTATGTGCGTCATCGCGAAGACATCAAATTGGACGTTCTGTGACGTTGTTAGGACGAAAGTGTTAAGCTCTGGGATATCTTCTTTCTTCCTGGCTGCATAGTCGTACCATTTGCTTTTCAATATGGGCGTGAGTTTGTCTGTGATAACTCGCGTCATCTCCGGACTATGCAGATAGTGTGCTTTCTTGAGTGCTTCCACGGTGCCCACTACGTTTGCTATGCGATTGGCGAATATGCATAACTCCCTGGGATTGTCCGTAACTTTGTTCAGCAGCTTCATCTTCTCTATTTCTAAGTGAATTAATGCTTCTGGTCGTCCGAATCTCCTTTTCAAAGCTTCTATTATTATTCTGGGGTCTGATTGGCTTATAAGTAGGCAGCTTGCGGCCTCTTTTGCTATCCCTTTTAAGCTTCGGCGTATTCTCGCTATGTTTTCGTTCATCGTGAAGTACTTTGAAGATTCTTCGTACGTTGTTTTGAAGCTGAGCCATTCTTTGCTGCTACCATTGAATGTGGGCAGCTCTTGCAAATATTTCGGCGGCTCCCTTGTGCTTCGTACTGCTTGTGATAGAGCAGCGGCTAAGGTAGCGACGTCGATTTGTTGCTGCGCCTGTCCATAGTCTTGTTTCTGCGGCGCGGTATGTTGTGGAACGTATTGCGGTGCATACTGTTGAAGTACGGGTGGTGCGATCTGCGGTGCTGGTTGCGACGCGAAGTACGACGTGGGTTGCGGCGCGGGGGGTTTGGTGCAGGTTGCGGCGCGGGTTGTGATGTAGGTTTTTCTTGCAACCATGTACTAATGCGCACTGATGCTAAGTCGTCTTCTATTTCTTCCTCTTCGTCCTCGGTTGATCCGGCTTCTGCTTGTAGTCGCTGCACGTGTATTTCTTGCAATTCCGTTCTTGCTTTTGCAATCGGGCCTGCTCGAGCTTGAGTTCCGCTAACCGCTCTTTCGCCTCTAACTCCGCGTGGAGTCTCTTGCGTGAGACTACGGAGCGGCGTGACCTAGTCTCGCCCGGCTTTAATGTGCGCTGCGATCTTTGATCACTCTCTTGCTGGGTTTCTTCCGTTGCAGTCGTTTTATCGGTCGCAGAGGTAGCGGTTGTATCGCTGCCCGTTGTGGTTTCGCTAGTGGTGTTTGATGAGCTACTAGCGGCTGAGTCGCCCCCGGAGGCCTCTTCCGTGGCCCCCTGGGTTATCTGTTCATCCTTACGACGCTTCGATGATTCTCCGCTGTTACTACGCGTAATCACCAATTTTCTTCAAAATAATATTTTTTCGTTCTTGCGGTTTGCTTCTTAATTCGGCTCTTCGAAGGACCATTAATGTTACGGATCGCCGTAACGCCGTTCGAAAAATGAATAAAACGCGTTGATCTGCTTATATAGGAGGCAAGCGGCGGTGAGGAGGAACTTGTACTTTTTCTTATTGTTGTTGCCTTTTCGGTGGCTGGAGAGCGACTGCCGACCCTACCGGCCGGCCCGTCTTTTATATGATTTGGCCGCTGCTGGCCAGCGGACCCTTGCCTCACCCCCCGCGCCTTTCTTTATTTCTTTAAAACTCTTATAAACTAATAAACAGGTTTAAATATATAATATTCTTACATCTACTTATTACATTATTATGTACACAATAATTATTTTACATTCTAAAAAGGTTTTAAATCTTGTATTTTATAATTTTTAAGCTGAGAACCCTGCCCCGCACCTCAGCACTATAAATATAAAACGTCGTGGCGCGGTACGCGTAGCCTCATTTGCTCTGCGGCCGCGTCACGATAACATGCCTTGTTGGTGTTATAATTATCTTTTTTTACAAGAAAGGTAATTTATAAGAATGGTAATATGTAAGAAAGGTAATATACAGTAAAGGTGATATGCAACAAAGGTAAATTAGCTATAAGAGTACAATTTACATTTTAAAATCTATGCTAACTCTCGTCATTTATTCGATGTCTTTATTGGGAGAGTTATTGCATAGTTACAATCATTCTTTTTTTATTATTGAACATAAGTTATACATGTTTAACAAAAATGAATGCAATAATTAAGACTACGGCTGTTTTTCTGTGTTGTTGTGTGCACCCTCGCTAGTTGTCGAACCTCGCCGGTCGCGACCGGGGGTTGAGCGCTGGTTACACTAAGCAGGTATCTCGTCGCTTGCGTCGTGCATAATACTGTCTCATTCTGCTGAGCACGCAAGCTTTTTAGGGGCCGATTTGACCTTCCCCTCCTAGTGACCACGAAACTGCACACTATGCGATATGTCGACACCAAGGATTCCGATGCTAGCCGAAGCAGCAAGGGGAGTGCCTTAAAACTGAGGCTATACGACAAAGGGGTTCTTTTTAGCAGTTAATACGCAAACTTGTGTCTTCTGGGGATTGAATTGGACTACATTCAGACGCCCCCAATCTGGGATTTTGTTAAGCAAAGACTCGACTTCAGACACAATTTTGTCCCAGTACTCAGCGACGATTTAGCGAGAAATATTGGTACGGCCGTTGTATAAGGCATCACCAGTGCTGTCGTTTGCATAGCAACTAATATACTAGTACCAGTTTGCAATATATCATTGATATGCAGAAGAAACAGCGTTGGTGATAGCACGCAGCCTTGTAGAACACCAGCATTAATTGGTTTGTTATCAGAGTATGTACCGTCTACTTATGACCTTAAAGCTCCGATTAGCAAGAAAACTGGTGATCCAATCGCACAATTTCTCGGGAAGCTCATAGAAAGGGAGCTTCGAAAGAAGCACTTGTGTCAGACCCAATCGAAGGCCTTCGCTATGTCCAAACTAACGGCTAAGGCCTTCCCCTTGGATTGCCTTCACATTGAAAATTAATTTGTTTTTGTCCATCACCTAAATGTGTCAAAAGCATACAAACGCTTAAATTCTGTACAATATTTCGACAACGCGTGTACGTTGGTTATCGTATAGGAGTATGCCACCATATAACTTCTCCGTTACCATTTAGCGGCAATGTTAATAGCAGTCAGTAAAATATTTTTTTATAAAATAAGGGTGACAAACGAGCACACAGTCCACCTGATGATGAGTGGATAAAAGAATTTAAAGGCAGATGCATTATCACCGTTGAGGACTAAGATTGAATGCCTCGATTCCAGTAAAACACGGCAGCATTAATCTGCTATTTTACGCTAGTATTTTGTGAGAGCTTGGTCCTTCTCCGTACATATGTAGTATGTAGTACCATAATATAGTTGCAGCGTGGCTCTACCACGTATAAATAATTATATTAATATTCTTAACTTAAGTAACGTAAATTTTAATATACTCTCTTTTAGACTCGAGCAATTTAGGTTTTATTCATTAATGAATACACTTAAATGCGGCAAAATTTTAACATACGCCGTTTTAGCTTTTTTTAACTATTTTATTGCTGTATAAACTAAAACACAAATCAATTAAAATTCAATAATACCATTTACATCCAAAATAAGTAAATAAGTTATAAAACACCAGTGTATATATTTAATGTTATTCAAAATTAGTATTAAAATAAAAATATAGTTTTATACGTTTTTTACAACAATGTTATCACGAAAACGAAAATAGAAAACTAGTGACAAGATCGGTAAATAGAGCTTTACTTCAACATTGTAGTGTTGTATAAAGTTCAATTTTGCCAAAATGTCGAATTGTCACCTTTTATGTTAGCATGGCAGCATTTTCAGGATTTTCTAAACTCACCACACGTAATCTAGATATATTAAGCTGCTATTTTACGCTTGTTTTCTATAAGAGCACGGTCCTTCGCCAATAGAGCCGCCCCATTCGTGCTACATCCATAAAATAACTGCAGCAAGCTCTACCACGCAAAAAAACATTAAGATTTTGGATAATAACATTATTTAATGACACTTACTTGATTTGTAACAATTAGATCTCATGCACACTTTATTTTTACTTCCGACAGTATTCAGAAGTTGTCACCGTACTAAAATTAGCGGTAAAATAATCGCACTTCGGACTCAAATAAGTTGTTTTTTATTTCTACAAGCTTTTTACTAAATATCCTTAGGAGAATCCCTCGCTGAGCATCCACGACCAAGCTATCCTACTCTTCCTGGGCGTGGGTGCTCAGGCTGCTCCGCGTATTGGGGGTGACGCAATTCCGCTCAAAACAACACAAAAACTGATCGAGGCAAGCGACCCCTGCCACACTATCCGTGAATTTTTGCATTATCAGGGGACTTCATTCCAACCTTAACGCTGTCCACTACCATCCGGAGACGCCGAAGCCAGCCTTGCTATTTTTAAACGAGACTCAGGTGTCCTCTCTAACTGATACTTCGTAACTTTCCTACCCGTTAAAATGATTCGTATAAACAAGACAGAAGATGACCAGACTCCAGTACAGACCAACTCATTGATCACGTTCAAATAGTTACAGATTATGTACTACAGCAGATCCCATCCACAGAGATCGTGATCCTTGGCTATTTTAACGCCCAACACGCCGAATAGCTCGGTTCACGTTTAACCGATTATGCGGGATTTTTTTTTGACTTTGCTTTGGCATATGGTCTGACACGACTGGTTACTTCGTCTAC